CATTTAACAAGCACAACAGGGCTTTATGTGGAATCATGGTAAACCTATTGAACATTCGACCTGTCCAACTTGACCATAGAAAATTATAACACATCGATTTCTCTAACCGTAATCAAAGACCTATCTAAGTAAAAAGACATTTTCCCATGACTGGCCTCTTCACATGTAATCATTAACGGCCCACATAATCCCACCACAACAATGTGAGTTTCCCCATCTGATATGTTCTTGAGAACAAAAATATAATAAGATTATTATATCCAAAAAAAAAAAAAAAAAAAAAAATATATATATATATATATATATATATATATATATATATATATATATATATATATATATATGTATACTGATCTTTTTTTTCGTAACACTGGTTGTTTTTGCCTCAACAAAATTTCAGCCCATGTAGGCCAACCTACCCCAAATATATATATATATATATAAGAAGGACAGGACTATATTGCCTATCACTGCTCATAGCTCAATTTTTGCCAAGTTATTAATCTATGAAAGCTTACCGTAACTTATTCTCTACTATTTTCAACAGTAACTGAGTAGACGACCATCCTGTAGGCTATCTTTGTCGGATTGTATAATAATTTGCTAAATGGTATTATGACTGCGTATAGCGCTATAGGTTGTGTTAGTTTCTAAATACAGTGCTCTTTGCGTATTTTCACATCGTTTGCTTATCTTGTATTTCCAGTGGCCATTTGTAGCCAATACTCTGTTGTCAATTGTTGGAATTGGCCCGAAAGCTCTTTTTCGATGGCAACGTAAACTTGCAGAGTCTCCCGAGAACGTCCATTGTTAAATAGCTCAGGGCCGCGTTGCTACCATACATATCCTTCGTCACTAGCGACTATTATTGTTATTGACTTCCTCCTCGAGGTATCCTCTTCCCATTTTCAGAAGTTCTCTGCCGACACCATCATACAGAAACGGTGAAGTACAGCTAAGAGGCAACGAAAGAGGTGAGCGAACGCTTGGAAGACAAGATGGGGACTCGTTTGGATGCCAAGACTACGAACGGTTGCTGCTAGGTCAAGCTCTGCATGCTGTGTCTTCAATGTTGAACGACGTACACAAATTACGACATAGGAGAATATGCTGTTCATTTGGCATTGCTGTCGCACCTCGCACAAAGGAACGAGGCGGTTAATTTAGCAGTGAAAAAATCACATTTGCTTCACAGCTAGAGAACCAAATGCAGACGTTTCTAAAGCGTCCTACTTTCCCCTACGCACCACCGGCTAGCGTAAACCGAAACACAGAACACAAGTACGCTGCGGTAAAACTATAAGCGACTGAACATTACACAGCGACCAGTAAACGTAACGTTAATAAAATGAATTTGTTATTATCCTTCTAGCGCTGTCGTGATGGGAACATAGTTGCCCATATAATCAGACAAGACTACAGGCGCAGAAGGCACAATAAAAGAACTCACTATACGAAGATACCAACAAATCATTTTTCGTCTTCCTTATCATTTCGTTATTCTCACCTGTTAACTACCAAAAACATCAATATTCTGTCGAAGGTTTGTGGTCTAGAGACGATTGCATTTCAAACCCTTTTTTTCGCAAATCTACTAAAACTCAAGCATCTAATTTGAAAATAGCTAATACCACTTTGATAAGTGACGCGAAATGATCTCTAATGAACTGGTTCAGAACAAAGCTTCAAAGAACTCTGCAAATCTCGGTAAAATATGATCCGAAAATCGTATAACGAGCATCTACCGGGAAAGCTAATGCACATTTTTACACGAATCCGTTCTTTTAAGCAGGTGCACATTCCCAGCTTCACAGTACAATATTTCTAGTTAGTCACCATAAAATGTTCTCGCTTTGAAACCGTCCCTCGTTGCGTTCCATCACCGTTGGATGAAGATACCGAGTCATTTCCGGATACCGAAGCCTAAGAACGCTTTTTCCTCACATATACATACAGACGCACAAACCCCGACGACGAACTCTTCAAACGATCCACTGAACAGTCTTGCATTGCGTCGCGAGACGGAAGGACGAGTCTATTTTTTGCTTGAAAAATTTACCCACGACACCAAGCAGGGAGGCAACCATTTCCAACTCTAAACTTGTTGACATAAACGTCTGCTGCCTGAACGACAGCATCAGGATGCGGCGTTTATTTTGTACCTAGAAAACGGCAAACAGCTAGTCCTGTACGAGTTGCTTGAAGAGCCCAAAGAGCGCTATCATACTGGCTAGCGGCGTTCCGTACTGAGTTAGCGCCAGAAGTATTGGGCCTTCACATCGGCGGTCACTTCATAATCGACAAAAGAATTGACAGAGTTAAGCAGATCAAGGAAAGCGAGAGCGAAGAATGTTGAAGGAGCGCCGAAAAGGGTTCCTTGGAAGATTGGGAGTCTTTGCCGTGATCCTATTTAGCATATCGGTTTGCTGCGTCAGACCTAGAGCATCCATCGATACCGAAACCGCTGTAACTATATTGAAACGGCAGAATTTGTGGAGGAGAAGCAGGATGATAAACCAGGCTGACTGTAAATGCTTCAGCAACTGTTGCATTGTTTCTCTGTTGAATTTTTAGCCAGAATCGTTGTAATGCTATAACACATCTTCGCAAGGCTAGAACTACGCGTTGAGTTAAATCGGCTATATTTGCGCTTTCCGTTTGTTTCCATTTTTTTTTGTAGTTTTGTAGTTTTCATTGCCAGCTGTTTTAGATCTCCATCTGCAATGTTGCAGATGGCTATAGAACCACCTTCTCTAATATTTACTTCACTCTCCCGTTGTTTCCGTACAAAGTGCACCTCTACATGCGTTTCATTGTAGCCTCATGTAATCTTCAAAACAACATCCGAAAAGTAAAGGTTTAAATAGATGGGGTTTATTCCTCCTCGGATTTGTTATTTTAACAGAGATATTATATTAATCGCGATTATTTTATAGGTATTGATACTATTTTAGGGAAAAGAGGAAGAAAATACATAAAAAAAAGACGTCTAATGTTGTTAAGATTGGATACAAGATGTGTGCACCAGATTTTCAGATGCGAGACTAGGTGTACTTTATCTTTAAAGTAGGTCCATATAACCCAACACTGTTCCCAAAATGTATAGGCTCCGCTTCTTGATAACACTCGTCTGTAACCTCTAAACATTCAAATTGTTTTTAGACTTAGATATCTACGTTAATAGAATTACTACGATTCAGCCCGTGGCAAACTTAATTTTACAAAAACGATAGTCTAAGTATCTATCTGCTGTACTTGAATGATAGAGTCAGCTTAACAATGTGGTGTAATTAAGTTAAGAGAGAAAGTTTTACTAGACCGAATTCCCGACAAACGGCCTTAAACTATCTTCACACCATCATACTAGCATAATACGAGGCTTGGAACCTTAGATCAACGGAACAGTAATTTCTTCAATGATGATAACCGCTTTCTTGTATCAGATCTTGTAACAGAGATGTACCCATAGCATACAGAAAGCGCAGCATGTTCACCCTGACTGGCATATGCGAACAGCGGGTACTAATTCTGGGTTTCTAAAAAAAATGCCATTTTAAAGGTCTAAACCACATGAAATTTTGAGGTTAAACAATTAACTTACGTATAGCACTTAGTTCACATACCGTACGTAAATCGGCTAGACTTTTGACAGACTGCAGAGGGTAGTGCTTCAAGTTTTCAATGCCGTTTGTCTTCTCAGAATAATTTATTGCACATTTCATGTGACGATGCTAAGAGCGGCTCGTTTTCATATAGAAAATACGAGCTTTTATTTGCCTATATTCATTTTTTATTAATCCTTATTACGGAATCAATAAATAAGAAACATATACTCATGAATAAATTTTTTTTCTCATATATCGAAACCTTACGATAACTCTGAAATATGATTTATGTCTTTGGCCAAACACTACAACGTTTACATGATTCTCATTGTAACTGCGTAAAGTTTCTCTTTATCAGTTTGCTTCATCATCATCAGAGGATCGCTACGTCCTGATGCAGAGTGCCGCTGCACAGAAGTTTTAACAATCTAACGTATTCGCCTTAACGCGAATACGTTAAATTGTTTGACCTAGAATTAAATACAATATATTGAGTCAGTTATGCTGTTAAATACTGTGGACCTAGGCGATAGTGCCTTTGGAAGAAGACCACTTATTGTTATAGGTTACATATCGATTTTTTTAATAAACAGCGTTCATTTTTGCAGGAGAAAATCAAATAAGATATAATTTTGTCATATTCTAATTGATTTCTTTCTTTCATATGACCATTGGGAATCCGGAACGTAGTGATGATTACACATAATTCCGTTTCTTGGAGCGACATGTCATATACGAACAGCGGCGCATCAAGTTAACTTACCTCGAGAAAATACGTCGTACAGATGTCTCAAACATGTTTAAATGGATTTTTGACGTTGCCTATGGTAAATACAGTATTATTTTTTTTCTAACTTGCGAAAATTAAGTTCAGGCTTCTCAAAAAATTAGGATAGAAATCATGCAACTGGATAGATTCTACCGTAGGAAACAAGAAACTCACATTTAAAGTCAGTTAAATTTCGATCGGAAACGGATCATTTACTTGCCTGTATTTCAACATCTGTTTACAACGTCAACAGGAGCCAAGGTGATGTTACGTTCGGTCGATCGATCTTCTTAGCCTCATGGGAGGTGATAATCATGGTAGTGAGAGATCTATTTGACCTGTTTGAAAATACGTCCATATGACAGCCGAAAAGGCAATTGAATACATATTGGCTTGGTTCTAGAAGAGTTGGTGAGCTCCGTTCACGTGTCACCTAGAATACTATTTATAAATGACGCGATCCTTTGATTCAGCCTATCGACTTGCTTCGCACTATACCACTGCACAATCACGGGACTTTTTTTTTTTTATAGAGATCAAGTCTATAAGCTTAGAATTCAGTGAAGTCATGTGAAAACCAATGGTTACATACATACGATTGGTACAACAGTGATCACCTGAATTTCTTTTAAAGTAGTTTTAATTAAAAACGAAGTTCAACTGCTCACCGCTATATGTATCATATATTGGACCACCCACTTGCACATGACTAGACCTCTTCTAAGCTCATATACCTGATCTTAATAGAAAAGGGTACGTTTTTAAATGTAGAAGTTACGATCACTACCCATATAGGAGGTGCTTGCCTTCATAATCATGGGAAGCACAAGAAACAAACAGCATGCCTGAGGAGCGGACCGATAGGTCGACTCAAAGCAAGTTTCAACGAAAACAGTTTTGCAAACGTTTGTCATAGAGAAGACGTAATTACTCCGTATTTAACATTAATTTTGGATGTTTGATAAGAAATTCGGTGGACGGTTGTATATTGACATCTATATAAATAAATATTTTTAGTATTCGGACCATGTGCGACATGTTGAATGGAAAGCAAAACGCCGTATACATCGTGAGATTATACCATAAAAGGGATTCAATAATTCCCTCTTTGAATGACGGCAAGCAATATTATATTAACTTTTTAGAGCATACATTATAAGTTCAGATACGATGTCTGGATTTTGATTTCGGCAGACTATCGATATGGCAAGAGGTAAGTTACGTCGCGAACTTTCCTGCTTTTGGCTCAAACGAACAAACAAATTAACACGCGAGCCGGCTCCAAAAGTGAACAACTTATAAAAATTATATACATAATGTGCTATTCAATAATTTATATAACAAATATCAATAAACATACAAGATTCTGCTTACCGAATCGGTAGGCCGAAGCGAATAGGCAGCGTCATAGCAGAAAATTGATATTTCCTCTTATTTTTAGTACCGTGTGTATCTGCTGGAGGGCTGCGTGTGCTAGCCGCTATCTAATTAAAAGAGGCAGCAATTTAGATACCGAAATATGTCATACGCTCTTAATTATCTATGTGTACATATTCAAAGAAGTCTTTCTAATTATCTTTGGGTGTATCTGATTAGGTTTTAACATAAGTACACTTATTATTTGTTAAGAACTTTTATTCCTCAAACACCAGTGTATCGTGTCTTAGACTACATACACGTTCATATTAGGCAATTGCTTTTGCAACTCCTATTATATCATTGTTACATAATAAAACCTATTAATATTCGTTTATTGAGCAGTTCATGTATAGATTATTAAACTACAACAATTCATTGAAAGCTCATTGTTGTCTCGCACAATTTGTATTTTCTAAGTGACGTGTCTGCATTGTTGAATTGGGTTTCTGTTAGCTTTCTCTTCCTTTTGCTACTGAGGGATTCAATTCATTATATATTTACCTATCTATCTATCTTTCCGCTGGCAATGTAACAACAGCTTCTTCAATGGGTGCCAGCCCAATCGGGACCATCGATCGATAAACTGTTTACGAAGGGAAATGGCTGCTTCCAACACTGACATAGTGTAATCCGTCGCACAGAAAGGACATCGTTCTATTGTGCGGGAGTAACAGTGGGAAAGAGCAATGAGAAATGAGCAAGAGTCTGCCGACTACATCGACTGCAGGCAACAGAGAAAAAATGGTCACGACGAGACCTATGAAGATAATAATAATAATAGTGATCATAATAATGGCAGGAACAGTACGCGATCCAGTTGCCTTCTGTCGACAATACGATCGACAGCAAACAAAGATGCAACTGGATGCGGTCTCTAGTAGTTCTCTGCAGTTTACGCCTGGCTCCTCTCCTCTGGCCGTAAAAACAGCGCTGGCTGGGAAACTCGCTCTCCAAAATTTTCTGTCTGCTTTGATCCCCGTAATCTTGCTCTCTTGAAACAACTGCTAAGACTACAATGACTATCAGCGCAATTACGCCAGCTGATACTACCAGTTCTCCTGTTGTTGTATCCTACCGGTGCAAGTAGCTGTGCAGTATCGCACTGTTCCTTCCTACGTACGTTTGTAAAGACGATCCTGCTGCCTTGGAAAATTGCTAAGAGACATGTTACACTTGTGAACTTCTAGGATCTCCAGAGTCCCGTGCGTCTTACTGCAACAAAAAAGTAAAAGTGCAAATGCGAGTACAAGCAACACTCTTAGTAGCAACAAGAGCTGTGGGTAGCGCTGGCAGCGATGCCGCAACGGGGCCAGTGTGCCAGGGCATGGCCGATCGGCGTATGACTACGGGCGGGGGGTCAGAGGAGGCGATGGGAACCGCCTGCTGCAGTCGAGCGAAGACGCAGAGCGAGCGGTTTTTCCATTGCTCAAGAAACTAACGCAGGGGCTGGATGGGAGAACAAGAAGGCTGAAACGCGGTAGCTTTTTAACGAGAACTTCTGTCCGAAGGGAATTTCTCTCCCTTCGCCGACATGAAACAGCCAAGGTACAGTTAGCAACAGCTTTAAACAAGGCCAAGGCGCTTCTTATTTCACCAATCGTTGTTGTTGTTGTTGGTGTTGCTGTTCTTAGGAGGTATGTTTTCGAGGGCGGCATCGAGTGCTAGGGAACAGAATGTATCGGCGTATAACAAGGTTTTTCCATAACCAGCTCTATTGTTAAAGCTTGGCGATAATGTGCTTTGTGTTTGCATTTCAGGTTTTTCTTATGCTAGTCCACGTTCATTAGTAAAAGCAATGAAGCAACCGATACACATGTCCAGAACCTGCTTACCTTGACAATTAATAACCACGCTGCCAAATAGAGGATGAGTAACTTTTACAGGTGCTTACCTTGCTTACGATACGTCATTTATCATGTTACGGTCTACGTGTGGCCGCATGGGCTTCTTAGTAGTTAATCGATTTTTGCTTTATCAGACAGCATGTCATTACTAACATGCATTTTGCTAATGTGAAATTGAGGGTCGAGGCTGACATTTGAAGGAGCAAACGTTTCTCTATGCACATGATAAACACATGTTTATACATGAAAGCGGAAACATTTTATACCAATATATACCGAACCTTGCAACAAAAGCAACCGAGGTACAAGGGCAAAATCTTACCAAAAGATCGAGTTTCATTTCATGGCTTTAGTAAATAGTTCTGACGAATCTAACATCATCAACTGTCATCTTAACATCTGACGAAGATGTTAAGTTGACGAAGTCGATAGTTAATGATAACAAGGTGGTCTTCTACTTGTTCCATAAACTGAGCCTATTTAACCGTGAGATCTCTTGCCTAAAGCTATCCGCCGAGTTAGATGGAATAGCGATCTCCTACTATTACCGGGCGAACTACTGCAACGATATTAAATTCCTAAAACCGGAAGCAATCCATCGTAAACTGTAGAAAGGATTGCTTTGAAATTTATATATATATATATATATATATATACAAAATCACATGATCATAACTATTTTGTGAAGTTGAACGAACATAAAGACGAATGTCTGTTTTTCCGAAAATTTCATACAGCATCAAATATATTATTTTTTATAAAAGGAAAATTGGAAAATGTTAGTCTCAGTATTTGGTATATATACCTTAGGTAATGTATTAGCTTATATCATAAGTAAGGAAGTCTTTTGTATTTAACAACGGCACTAATCCTGTTTTTGTGCACCTCATTTGGTCTCTGGTGCATTTAGACTTAGTTTTTAATAACATTCTGTATATTCAAAGAGCCTGGCAGCTATTTAGTGTATGTGGTTCATATTTGTAGTCAATTCATTCGCTATTCGCTATCTTCTTCTTAGTTATAAAACTCTTGCTATACACGACATAATATTTCGGGCTACCTCGAAGACCCCTTTACTTCGGCAAAAACCGAAATATAACAGCTGCCGAAAATACACTTTTTTGCCACGGGTCATCTGTCTTCGAAGCCTGAATGAAGGGCTTATGTTCCAATTTAGAACTAACAACACATATCAACATTAGTAAATAATTTAACAATAAGAATTACAGGATCATAACGAGAGCCTTTTCTGCTATGCGAGTCTGTGCGTATCCATGTTGTTATGCTAAGCGTTTTACAAGAAACACTAACCTTACAATTTGGTCACTTGCACCGTATTTGTACCGTTTCCGCGTAGTGCTTATTTATTCTGTAAACGACGATCTGAAGTTCTATTAAGGAACCAGTTTTTATTTAAAACTGGTTCATCTTGTGGCCGTTGCGCCGTCACTTTAAACCGATGCCGACTCGAGCTACCGCTTCAAGACATACTTTCCTGAGATTTCCTTCCCGTGAACGCAACACGAGCATTGAGACGATGAGATTGTATCCAATATTCAGCCTTCGCTTACCGTATCATGACGCTGGAGGACCACTCGGACGATATCCAGGACCTTGGTCAACAATATTACAAATCACTAATCTAAGTACAACAAAAAGTCTTCTACGGGATAAAGTCCCGCCGGGATCCAATCTAAAAGCATTACTGTTCAGTAACAAATTTACTTTTTTCCTTAAAATCCGTATAATAAGACCACGCCTAAGAGAAATTATAAGGCTAATACGAATGTCACCTATTGGCGACAAAATTGGAATTCTAGTTGTCCTGGGTGCCGCTGCGTCTGAAAAGCGATTTCATTGGCCACAACCTTTTGAAAATTTTCTACAGTGTTACTACTACAGCTGCTACTGATGTTTTCCAAGACATTCGCCACTCCCTCTGCGCTTGCTCTTCCTGCTGATTTCCCAGACGGTTCCCTTGACGATAGTAGTTTCAGGAAACAAGTCGGGAGGCAGACTTCTCAAATTCGCTGTTTCCAATTTTACCGTTCGAGTGTACGAAATTAAACGTTTCCTCCTTGACACGTTGCACCTTGGAACACTCGACTCCGTTTAACACGACGTTCAAGGTACTACGGCCTCAAAACTACTCTAATTTCCCGGAAACTAAGGATTAGCCAGGGTTGTGCCCGATTCTTTCAATGCCTCCGTCACACTCGGCGAAAGATGGTTACGATACATTTACCGGCCGTTTTTTCCTTTATGGACGCAAGTGCGTGCCTCATATAGTTTTACATACATACGTTTGAATGTACTCACCTGAACGTAGCATGTTCCAAAACTCATAAGACGTTATGCGATGCTAGCTAGGATTCTCCGCTTCTTGAGTGACTGCGAGTATTATCTTATGCTTTGTTTTCACTGTACATATATATATATTCCTTACTTGGAGTACGTCAATTTTTCCGAACTGTGTGTAGGCTTGTAAAATACATGATCAAAAAATGCCCGTTCAAATTAAAGTAATTTTGAAATGCACGGTGCAGACTGAGACCTTTCCAGCCATAACACTGAAATAGGAAGCAGCTGCGCCTATGGTACTGCAGAGTCAACGCGACATCTTAGCAAAGCGAATGTAACGATACGCGCGCTCAAAAAACGTAAAGTCTGCGCTTGTAGTTGATACTGAAAGCTCAGGTACTTAATAAATTACTCCAGCAGAAAACGTAGCTGTAGTTCTCTTGTGTACGTACATAAAACACGTCAATGTTAAAAGAATCGATTTAGTAAATACCATTTTAGAAATGTAATTTGCGTATGAGCCTTCAAAAAGTAGCTTTGTAACTTTTTAGCTTCCAAATAACGAGAGATTTACGTTAACCTAAATAGCGATGGAAACATGGTGTGGTTTATTACTTCCTAGGCTTTCTTCCTAGATACGCGAGCTGATATAGTCAGCAACCGATACAGCCTGCATGCAATATACCTGTTGGGTTTGCTAGCTTGCTGATTCTCACTCGTCCATGATAGTGGTCCATAACTGTACATATGGATAAATTTCGAAGCCCTTTGCTTGGTCTGGGAAAAACAAATGCGCTCCTTTATCTTGTAACTGCGTTATCATTATCAGAATGACCTTTGTAAGCAGGTTCGTCCAACTGAATCTGACGAAACAGCTTTATCTTTCCAAAAATACCTCATGCGCATCTAACCCGGCACCTTTTTTTCGACGAATCGGAAATTGATCCTTACATGTAGCATGCAGATCACCTCAGCATAAGATTCCTTCAGGCAAGACGCCAACCTAAACATAGTTTCAGTAGACGTATCCAAAAGTTGAAATTTTTATAATAAATACGTTATACGTATTTAATTAAGTCAAAACATATATATTTGAAACCATAGGTTTCGATTATTATTATTATTACTCGTTCCATTACGATTATAAACCCGGTCTGTTTCCGAAACGTTACGAAGGCTTAGAGTTTCAGGAACTCTAAGCCTTCGTAACGTTTAAATTTA